GACTAATACTGGTAGGAAAGATGGAAATAGGAGAATTAGAGAAAGGAAGAGGAACTATTTATTTTATCAAAATAAGTAATAGAAGATGCAAAGAAGGAATAAAAAGGATTTATGGAAAATACAAAAATGTTGATTCATTTGAAAAAAAACAAAGTTTTATAATAATATTAAAAATACAGAAGAAATACCAAGAAACAAAAGTAATGTTTTCTAACAGTGAACAATGATCACGCCAAGACGTTTTAGAATACCTAAACTCACAACATTCATGTATAAACTTTACATGTGAGATGGAAGAAAACAATAATTTTTTTTTAAACAACTCTTTCTCACATCTGTTTACCCTAAAAAAACAGTTACTGACTTATACACTCACTTCAACAGTTTCATATCAGACTCCTTCAAACAACCTTGTTTTAAATCTTCTAAACAGAGCATATAATATCTGTTTTGACTACTTCTGTCTTTACTCAGAAATTCATAACATATTATGAAGTAATGATTATCCCCTTAATTTCTTACACTCCCATCACATAAAAAATTTTGAAAAATAAAATGGAACCTACCAAAAAGTCACACGCTGTCTCAAAATATCCATTAGTTCTTATCACTTTTCATTGGCAAACAAAGTTTTAAGCTCAAATTCAAAAAATATACAAAATATATCACCCACAAATTAAGCTACATTTAGTATTTACGTCAACATTTAGAATTAAAAATATGTTTAAAACCAAAGACACTCTACCCATTCCTATGCACTCATGTGTCACATATAAATACACTTGTGGTAGGTGTAAAGCTACCTGTATTGGTAAACTTACATGACACCTACAAATACATGCACACAAGCACATGGGAATTTCAGCTAGAAGCAGATATAAGCTTAACTAATCAACCTTGTATCTGATTGCACAGTGAGGATAACAACCACCTCGTACTTCTAGAAAAACTTGAAAATTATTGACCCTGGAACCACAGATTATGAACTCTTTATTAAAGATAGCCTCTCCATTTTCAGTGATTTCCCAACACTGAATAATATCATCAACTCCTCTTTGTTGTCATTAATTTAATCAATTCCAGATTCTCAGTGTTTTTATTTGATAAATATTATTATTTTAAAGATGCAGAGTTTATACTTATATTTAAGCTTTTCTTTATAATGTTTTCTCTTCACAGTATTATTTATTAAACAGGTGTATGCTGCATGTTTTATCATATATTCTGTTATATTGTTAGCATTTAAAGCTGTTCTTTCTAAACTTCCAATTGAATACAAAAACTTGGTCAATAGCTAATGTTGTCTTTTGTAGTTAGAATATTGTGAACTAACTTTTTTGAGGTTTTAATGCTGATGATGGAATTTAAAGAAATTCTGAAACATCCATAATTAAAGATGTTTTTGGTTTTACCGTGTTTTTAATATTTATCATTTGAAGAAATATAGCAAGAGAAGAAAATAAAAAAGAAGAAATAAATAAATTGTATAAGTAAAGAAAAAAATATGAAAGAAATGTTGTTGCAAGTTTTGACAAATAATAATCAAGAGAATCAGAAAACAAATAGACAAGATACAAAACAACTTTGGATAGAGAGAGAGGATAATGAAGAAAAGGATTTGTTGGAAGAGATAAAAGATTTAAAAACTGAGATAAAATTATGTCATACACAGACAGATAAAAGAGAGAATAGGAGTAGAAGACAAAATGTAGTATTTAAAGGAATAAAAATTGAAGCATGAAAGGATACAAAGAGGTAGGCTAAATTAAAAACTGGATTTGAGTTGGGGGTGAGAAGAGTATATTTGGTTGGAAGAAAAGGAGGAAGATCGGCAAAACCAATAATAGTAAATTTGAAAGAGAGAATGTAAAAGAAGAGATTTTGAAGGAGAAAAAGTAAAGAGGTAAGGAAGAAATTGTTTGAAGTAGGAAAATGAGAGAAAAAATGTAAGGAATATAAAGTTGAAAATTGATAAAATAATAACAGAAGGACAAGAACTTGAATAGAAAAAGAGTAAGAAAGATTTTGTCATTAAAAAGAAATGACAAAAAGATTATAAAAGTGGGAAGAGGAGAAAGAATTAAGTTTTGAAACTAATAAAAAGGTTGGAAGAATAAGAAAGGAGAAAACAAAAGAGAATAGAAATGTTAATATGGAATGTTGCAGGAATACTTAATAAACATAAAACGTTTTGGGAGCATATAGGAAATAAGGATATAGTCATTATTGTACAAGAAAATGAAGAAGACTGTAGAGGAAAAATTATAATCTCAGTTTAAATGGACTATAAGAATAACACAGAAAAGAGAAAAAAGAATGACCTAAGGGTGGACAGTTAGTGGGGATAAAGAGGAATGTTAAATGGAACATTTAAAAAGAAAGGTGAAATTATGGAATAATATTAAATTATAAAAAAGGAAAAGAGAAAGGGATTATAAAGACAGTGTTAATGATGAAAAATTGAAGAAGATTATTGAAGCAGCTGAAGAAAAGATATAACAAAGATAAGAACAAGGAAAGAGTTAACATTGGTGGGAGATTTTAATGCAAGGATTTGACAGGAAATAAGAGGAGATAGAGATTAAGGAGAAGAAAACAGAAACAAATATAAATAGAGTTTGATAAGGAAATTTAAAGATGATGAGGTGAAAACAGAGAGAATACAATTGATAGAGTGTTATGAAGGAGAAAATAAGGAGATAGAGGAAAATTTTACTTTCGTAGGAGCAAGAGGAGCTAAAGTGGTGGTTTATGCAATTGCGAAAGAAGAATGTAACCTTTTAGGAAAAGTAATAAAAATATGAAGTGAGAAGTGAATCAGATCATCTTCCAGTAACTATGAAAATTAGAGATAAGCAATTAATCAATTATCTATGAGCACTGATCATGTTGATTAATGTTATAAAATAATCAAATAATCAAAATTAGGGTTTCCAATTATTACTGTTTGTAAGTATTCCAACTACCAAAGTAATTGAAATATTGTTACTGTGATATTTTATTTATTAATTCAAGATCGTTCAGTTTAATTGATTAGTGTCATGATTCATGAAAATAAGCAACTAATGGGAATTAGTGTTTCTGTTTCTTACTATTTTTGATTGTTTCAACTATTCAAGTCTTGTGACTATAATGAATTAGTTGAATGTAATTGATGAATGTGCCTGACAATTATTTATTTATTAGGTTCCACTAATCCCTCAGCTTTAGTGGAAATATTAAAAAAAAAGAAATTAAAAGGCAAGAAAGTGTTAGGGAAAAAAAAGGGCAGGGGATGAAGTGGATAGAAGAGAGGAAGGAAGGTTTTATAAACATTTGAAAGAAATCAGAAGATGTGGAAAAATATTTAAGACATTTTAAGTAAAATATGGATGGAGGCAGTTGAAAAAGTGGGGATTAAAAGAAAGGATAAGGAAAGCCAAGGCTGGTTTGATATAGACTCTAAAGAGAAAAAGAGATAAGTAAGAAGATATTTAAATATATTTAGAAGGACATTGTAAGAGGAAGACAAAGTGAATTATATAAAGGCTAGAAGAGACTTTCATAAATTATATGATAAAAATAAGAAGAACAAAAGATATCAAACTTATATTGGTTGTCAAGTAAGCTTGTTTCTTCAGATTATTAGAAGTATCTGTTATTTTATCTAAAACAGGCATTGTAAGATTTAGCAAGAAAACAATGACATTTATTTGAAGGTTCTAGAAAAAGAGTGAGTTTTTGTATAAAGATAAGAAGAACAAAAGATGATAATATCTAGGATAAGGTAAGGAAAAGTAGATCAATAAGGGATTTTTGGGAAAAGTGAATAGATGTAAAAGGAAAAGAAAAATGACAGGACAAACAGTAAAACTAGAAAATTTAAAAAACATTTTATTGATGTATTAAAAGGCATAGATCAAAAAGAAGAAATCAAAGAAGATTGGAAAGTACAAATATATTATGACAAATTGGATAGAAAAACAGAAACTGAAAAATTATAAAAATTGAAGAAATATAAGAGACTAGGTGATTATCAAGAAATAAACAAGTTTTTTATAGCCACAAAAGTGTAAAGGATAGTGAAAAACTTAGAACTAATAAACAGAGAATTAAAAAGTAAACTGTACCCATAAAATGGAGAAAAGAGGAAATTTGTCTTACATATAAGCCAGTAGAGAAAGAGCATCCACATAACTATAACATAATTGTATACATTGTATAAAATTCTAACAGGTATGGTGGCAGAGAGGTTAAAGAGATGGCTAGAAGAAAATCAAGCATGTTTTAGAAAAATAAGTTACAGACAAAAAGGAAAAATTGTTTGCTTTTTTGTGGACTTGAAGTCAACATATAATATTATAGATAGAAAAGAGACTGTTCTTGAAAACACTCACAACTAGAATTAAAGTAAGAACAATACAAGAGATTTATTTGGAAAAATAAAAATAAAGGAAAAATACATGACAGACAAAGATAATTTTTTTGGGCACAAGAAGGAATCACACAAAGGTGCCATTAAGCCCAGTGTTATTTAGTACATATATATATATATAAATTATGTGGAAGAGGATTAGGTAAAAAAGAAAATTAGAAGAATTGTGATTGGAAAAAATTCAGCTCTTTGATACATTAGTTTGATGAGTGATAATGTATGGGAATGGAATAAAGAAGAGAAGGTACATGAAATGGATACTTTAGATAGATGAAAATACACCAAATTGTATTGTGGTTTGAAACAGGAAGACCAAATGTTGAAGGCTAGGGTACGAAGAGATTATGAAGATATGTTTGACAAATAATAAGAATGAAAGAAAAAAAATTATGGCTAAAGAATGGTTAATGGAGATAATTAAAGGAATATAAAATAATAGAAAAACTAAATGGGGGATGTTGATAGAATGAGTATTGGGAGTACAGAAATAATAAAATTGATTAAAAAACAAGTGATATGAAAGCTTTTCAGAAAAACGATAGATGAACTAATAAGAATAGAGATAGTACAAAATATCCAGGAAGAATGAAATTCAGTAGAACAGTGGATTTACTGTTCATATTATGAAAATATAAAAGACAAAATCAAGAAATGGAATATTTGAGAAAATGAGAAAAAAATATTATGAACCAGATTAGATGTAGAGGTATAATAGAGGGCAGAAAAAAAAAAGTGTGTGTGTGGGAGGGGGTCAAGAGATTTAAGAAAAAATGAAAGAGAATGGAGCATATATGGAAGTGTGAAAAGATGCAAACAATCTGAAAAAAAGAATATGAATGGATTGAAGAGGAAAGGAGTCAGGAAGGAAATGTATGAATTTTGAAGATGGTGAAAGGAAAATAAACAAAAAGAAATGTGCAGGTGTATTGAAAAAATTTGTAAAAGAATAAGAGAAGAAGAATTAAAATATTAATAAATATATAAACAGTAAAAAGAAAAGAAAAATATGATGAACGTATTATAGAGACTTCTGTACCCCCTTCTAAAGAGAAAATATATTAAAATTCAATTATTAAGAATAAAAAACTAAACAAAAGTTCAGGCTTTATAGGGTAAAGATGTGATATCATTAACAAACATAGATATTCTGATAGTGTAAACATACATAGAATTAATGTAATTGCTATAATGTTGTCAGTAGTATATTTATAAACTTACAACACTGAAATCTGGTGTTTAATTCTCCACAGTTACAGAGTGCAGATAGCCAATTATACAGCATTACACTAAAATAATATATGCCATAATCTAAAAAAACATTATATATATATGCAGTATTGTAAAAGGACATATAATTACGTAACTGTTGTAATGGAATATAACTGAAAGTCTATTTCTGTGTTATATTTGTTTTGAATTGCTTCATAGATATTTACTCTGCACAATGCTCACTGAAGGAATAGTTTAGAAAAAGTACCCAGATTTGCAGGGGTTATTAGGTTAATATGTTTTAGCAAGTGCATAAAATGTATCATCAAAGTAAAAATATTGATCCAATTTTAAACTTAAATCGTTTCTGAATTAATGTATTTTCTGTTATATCATCAACATTTTTATTAAAAAAAAACAAACCTCTAATCAATGGAGACTCTAATTTAGAAATGGGGTAGTCTTGCTGAAAAAAAAAAAAGTGAACTTTGAAACATCCATTGTTACAGCTACTTAAGGAAATTTAAGTCCAAGTTAGATACTATAATATCAGACTTAACATTTTACAAATGTAGAAAATAATGCAAAGTAGCTATTAAATTGAGCTACTACTTGTTTAATTATTATACACTGTATCACTACCATAGGTAATGTTATGATAGGTCTATTGTAAGTATATCTTTTCTTTTTTTCTGCAACATTATTACCAGTATTTTATCAAGTTATCTTTGAAGGTCACTAAAGTAATTAAACAAAAGTAGTGTTTGTAGCATGATTAATTTATTTTCCAAATCAAAAATAAAGTCACAGAAGCATATTTATTTGCGATATGATCTATAAGAATGCTATATCATTATAATTTGGCTTCAGTTACAAGTTAATATCAGTGTTAGTTTGGAGTCAAATTTTCAGAAAAAAAACTAAATAATAAGTCTGTTAGTAATGTGCAAAAACATTAGCATCTGTGTCAAGTTTGTAGTGTTAAATTTATGCTATAGAATGATGCTCTTATACTTAGTTGTTCATCTCAAGGTTTTGTTGTGTTTTATCATATGCGGGTAAAGGTCACTAGACAACTATTTACATCTTCTTATGGGTCATCCTTGTTATTACAATGCTCACTGAAGGGATACTTTATTATAGATTATAAAAATTAATCTTCAGGGGCATTACTCAGAGACAAAATCCTGTTATTAATCAATAACAAATACTCATTTTAGTCCTGAAAATTAAGAAATTAAATTGAATTTTTTTTTTAATACAAGAACTCTGCTCATTTGTACAACCAATACTACAACACAAATATTTGGTTTTAAGGTGATTAAAATAAAAAAACATTAATTATTTAGAAAGAAAAATTAAAATTCAAGTGCAAAAATTATCTGTCAGGAAATATTAATTTTAAGTATTTAGCTTTTCTTTGTGCACTTGTCTGAAAAAGCAAATGTCTTTGTTAATGTTTATAATGTTATATAAATAAATATCATGAATAAACTTTAAAGGAGCTGCCATTGTTCTGTCTTGCAATGAAGAACTTCCCATTTGAAAAGATGGATGTATTAGCCTAAGAAGATTTTCTTGTTGGAAGTTCTGGAGATATCCCTTGACATTTTGGCGATGAATATGATGATGCCAAGTTAACACTAGTGAAACTTTGACATGTTTTAACACTTCTTTGATATCCCATTTCTCGCTCTTTTGTACTTTAATTATTACTAAGGTTTTTTTGTTTCTGTAAGTGGATATTATATATTAAAAAAACTTATAAAACATCCTGTATGAAATTGATTCTAAAGATGTAAACTCTAAATTGTATGCTTAAAACAGTAACTTATATAATACAGAATAATGAACTAAAGAAAACTTTCCCATTGATGTATACTTTATTTGAAAATGATAATGACACTAGAATAAAATCTTATTATTTTGAAGACTGAGGTTGGATGGAACAAAAAGGATCACAGTTGGAGTATACAAAATGTAGCATTATATATAATGTAAGAGAGTAAAGAATTGTGTTATAGTACAAATTTTATCTGGAAGACAATGAGTCACAGGGTAAAATATTTATATACATGGTTTGTAAACTGTTTTATATATCTCATTTTTATAAACTAAAGTATGGTTAGTGTTAGGCACAAGACAAATGATTCATAAAGAAAAATATTAATAGGGAACTTGAACTCCTGACTGTATCTGTGTATTTGATAACTCTCTGCTACAGAGTTTTGAAAGTAGCATAAAATTTATGTTATGTTCATTGCTGATGTAGTTTTGTTAGAATTTCACATGGATGTTTATAGATGACATTGTAAATTTTGCATTAACTTGACTGTCAGATGACTATGATTTTAAATAAATCTTTGCTAGTATTTATTATATAATCATGTATTTCATGTAATACACAAAATAAAACAAGTTATTTGTTTAGTATTGTGCACTGAAATAAAATCACATTTTCCAATAAAATATTTCAGTGAAACAACCATTTTATTATTAGTATCTGTAAACTGAAAATAGTGTTCCATTAGCACTTTTACAATGTTGTATTACCAATTTTAATAAAACTTAAACAATTTTGATAAATACACGTGAGCATTTGCTGTGTTTGGCAATACTTAATAAAATTCAGTGGATTGTTGCTTAGCATACTGTGTACATGTTGAAATGAAGAATATTTATCTTTAAATTCTATAAATTAAATAGTTGCATTTCTTTCAAAAATAAAATGTAATCTTTTGAAGTAGCTTTATGTGTAAAATTTGTGACAAACCGGTGTACAGAATCTTGGTTTTGTTTTCTATGGGACGTCTTAACATTGGCACTAACCAAGTTATGTAAATTACTTATGCAACAGTGAAGATGCTTCCCTGAGTGACTGAAATGTTGTACTCTGTATATGAAGCATTCTCTGGTCTCCTCAATAGTAATATTTACTGCTCATCTTTAAACCATTTGAACTTGATTGATAAACAAGTATTTTAAGGTAATTTTATCTTTTACCAATGTGGTTTTTGCAGGCTTTAAAATTTTTTCTACAACAGAAGCAAGGCTAACTGGCATTATAATTTTCAGGGAATCTTATCACCTCTTTGAAAAAAGGAGTAATATCAGGAACTCTCTCATCTTGAGGCCTTATCCACTCTGTTGGTCTACCAAAAATGAAAGATTTCTCTTTGCACCTTTATTTTATGACACAAAATGTGCCAGTTCATTAATATTCATCAATCAGCACATCTAATATTAATAAATATTCACAATTAGTAAAAAAAAACATCACTGTAGTACTAGTTGGTAAATTGTGCTGCTCTTTGTTTACATTATTTTGGCTCCAAATGATAAAGATTTAATTAATTTGTAACTTTGAAGAAGTATTTTAGTATAAAAACTTTTTTCATTTTTTCAAGTATTATAATTTAATGTAAAGAAAGACTATTCCTAAAATAAAAGAAGATACTAAACTTTTACAGTCATTCATTTCTTGTACTCTAGACATAAAAACTTAACATTTTCACTTACATGTCAATATTCTATGTCCCTTGAGATAATAACATTACCATTATTACTTTGATTTCTAAAAGTTACATTTTGCCATTTGAGTGCTCCATCAATTTGTGCATATTCATCTAAATACACCTCATGTAGGAGACATTTGGAGACTATGTGTATAACCAGTGGTAAACTGTTTATATGATTTCAAGATGAAAAAAGTGCTTTAATGGAGAAAGGAAGTTTCAGACAACTTCACATGTGTTTCACAAAAGGTAAGAAATTAATAACAGTTTTAAGAATTTCTTACCTTTTCTAAGAAACCATCCTGTAAAAATTGACTATCATCTACCCATTTATGTCATCAGCTATCTTCACAAAGAAAAAAAACATTATAAGTGTGTGTATGGGTAGGAATGTAATGTAAAAGAACATTTGCAAGTTATGATTTTAGATTTTGGACAATGTCTAAAGTGGGTAATGGATATGAATATTTTAAATTAGACTGTATTCCCCAGTTAAGGTTTAAACTTGACTTTAGGAAAACGTGATTCATTGTGTTCTGCATGTTAAGATCGGTGATTGTGCTGAAAAAGTTCTAACTGCAAGTGAACATGAATTTAATTCTCAACCAAACATTGCAAATGAGCAACCTTTTGTTGTGAAGGGCTATCTGTCTGACCCTTATAGGTGTTTTCGAAATGCACATATGTTCTTTATACTGAAACAGATGACACTGCCAAAGAAGTTCAAACTGCAAATGAAAATTAACCTGACTTTTAAACAGTTTTTGAAGATGTTCTACCTTGTTGTCTATCTAACTTTCATGGGTATTTTTTGAAATACACCTGGTGACTGTAAAGTCATTTATATTAGTTAAACTAAGCACCTTTTTAATTCTTGCCTGGGGGCATTTAGAATGTTGTTTATAACTAGTAATGTTCTTCCTTTAAACAAAATTCCTGCCATAAGCCGTTCCTTAAAATACGAGTTATCTGCAGTACACATATAAGATTATATTTCACATTTCTTTCATACAATATGATGCATGAAAGACAACTTAGCACCAGGAATATAATATATTCATGAACAGAAGTGTCCAAAACAATGAAAGAAATTATTACTGCCTTAGAAGGCAACAAAACCACTTGTGAAATTTGTATTAAGAGAGTGGTTGAGTATGTGGCAAGATTTGGTTCCACAAGTTTTTATGGTTCCACACATTTTTACTGTGCTGGATTTGATGAAAATCAATAAATTTAGCAGGAAGTTTGTGAATTAATTCAGTATTGAAGCAATCAATATTTGGAAATAACTGAAGTAGCAGAAGAACCAAGCGAATATGTAAATGAAATTGTGCAAAATATTGTTTATAAAATTCATATAAGAATTAGTGAAGGTGGCATACAGGTGGTACATAGAGTACCAACTGTTAACAAAAACAGAATGAAATGTGCAATGGTAAATTGAAGTCAAAAGTAGTAAGAGATAACTTGCTAATAGCAAATAAGTATAAACATTTTAATAACGAAGTTCTGACATAGATTAAAGATTCAATGAACATAAGATTTATTTAAATGAACATCTGACAGCCACATTAAAAAAGTTATAAAATAAATAAAAATCTAAAACAAATACAAGCTTGAAATTTCTTTGGGTAAAAGGAAGAAATCTTTAGGAGAAAGGAACAAAATATGGATAGTATATAAGGAAGATGATTTAAATAAAGTGATAGAGTTAAAGAATTTGAATATACTTATCAAACAGTTAAAAAAAAGGCTTCATTTTGCTCAGATGAAACATAAATGAGAATTTTTTTATTTGTAGTATAATCAAATAAATTTATTACACATGAGTATAAGAACTATTATAATATATTAGCATATTGAATTGATATAAGTTGGAAAATAAAGTAGATGTAAATTGGTATCAGTTAGATAGATATAAATTGTTTTGTAACTGTAGATAGTATAATAGGTCTAGGGAAGTAATGATTTATGTTAAGACCAACATAAAAGTGAAAATGATTACATGTTACCAGTATGGTATCTCGAAGATTTCTGGCAAAGCTGAAAAGGCCGGGCCCGCAAAAACAGGAGGTTATTTTGTATGCGGGTATGTTTCCCGCTGGTTGAGCCACAAAGAATGAGACAGGGCAGCAGATTTACAAAAGGAACCAATCTTTAAATCTTGTCAGTTTACAGAAAAACAAATAAAGTACTATTAGTATTACACAAATCATGGGCAAGTGATCTTGTGTATTGCAAAAAGTGTGTGACTACCAAGAGTGACAAAAACTTTATTAAATAACAAGCGTGTGCTCACCATTGTAACATAGGCTAGCATACAAATAGAGTGGCCTCAAAATGTTACACAATAAGTTAACTCTCAACTAAACTTTAATAAGTGACAACAATAACAACGCAAACTTTAAATGAAAACCTGGAATTCACTATCCTGTGGGGCAAATTATACGCTATTTGCCCACTAGCAAACTTATACAAATACTTAAACTTAACCAGATTACAGGCGAAAACCAAACGGCGCCCGCACAAACGAATGTGAAACCTAACTTTAAATTTACAAGAGAACTTGAAGAATTCTTAGAAAGTAAAACTATGATACATAAAGTTTTACAAACATGTTACCGGCAATCGAAAGTGAGAACTTTAAAAAAAAGTTCTACGTGAGAACTTAGAAGTGAAAGTTACGAAAAACTGCGTGAAAATACAGTGAAAGTATTTAAAGTCCTTCCTTATAAAATAGGAGGAAATTCAAGTCTGCATAAATCTGTGGTAATTCTACGAAGAATCTGCTCTCTCAGGCCCCAACACTGTTATAAATATGTCAATAAATCTTCGAGTCTCTGACGTAATAAAACTGATTAGTGCCTGATAGATCAGTAGGCCAAAGGGTGAGTCCACCGGTAGCTACTGCCTCATTCACTAACCAGAATAGCTCGGCGTGCTAATTAATATACACGTTGTTATTCCCATAAGAGAATCAGATAAGAAGGTGCTAAATACCCACTTGTCCCAATAAATCCTCGGGGAAAGTTTAAATTAAAAATCCTATTCAGCAATTCAGTGTTCGAATTTTAAGAATTATAGTGAAAAAGAAAAATTTAGCGAATTTGACTTTAAACTAAAAGGAGTTAAAAACACTTAGTACAGCGCGGTACTACGCTATTAGAAACAGTGCTTATATATCTTGAAGAAAATGAAACACTAATGATAGTTATTTATAGATCACATACATTTAGACGAGTTCTTAAGTAATTAGACAATGTAAATTAAAAATGTAATATATGTTGGTGCATTGATTGGTAAATGAAAGAAATATGTTTCTACTTAGTTTTGAATCATATACAAATGAAGCATTCAGGGAATTAGGAAAACCAATGAATTTCGTATAATAATGGCTGGAGACGGCTTGAATGGGTAATGAAGAAAAACTTTAATATAACAGCAAATGTACAACGTTTCGACAAGGTTTTGTCATCATCAGGT